ATTTTCTATGAATTAGCCCAGGTCAAAAGAATCTAACAGAAATAGAGATCATGTGAGGTCTTTTCAAAACTACCCCAAATCATGAAAATGCCTAAAAGTCTTCATGATTTCTCTTTAGCGGAACTAGAGAACATTCAGGTTGTAGACCTTCTTCAAGTGGTCTGTAAATCAGATGAGCTTTCTAAACTTTTTACTGAGATTGTGTCAAGAGATATTGTCATAAAATTATTACAAAATTATATAATTGTCTTTTTATCTGCTTTATCTTTCACGGTCTTTATTTTCTCTTTCAAGATGATTTGTCCCAGTACCATTTCCATGCCCCATAATACTATAATGATCTGTATCACATCGGCTGAGCTGTTGCTTTGTCCCTGGGACTCTAAATCCAAAGACACAACATCTAGAGCAGGATTATTCACTCTCAGAATAACCTTCCACTTCCAAATAGTGTCTTTTCTCAATATCCCAGAAAATGGACATGGCAGAGAAGGAAACGGGTGGGGTAGTTGATCTTCACTGCTTAATTATCACATCAAAGTACATTTTCTTTCATCAGACGATGTTATTTTTGAGATGGTTGAGACAACTCGAACGTGAAGTATGTATTAGGAGATGACAAGGAACTAGTTAGGTGTAAAATAGCATCGTTGGTGTGTAAGGAAATGTTCACACTTCTTAGAGATGCACTCTGAAGTATGTAGTAGTGAAATGACATGTCTGAGATTTGTGTTAATAAACTTCATCAAAGAAACAAATAAAAGAGGAAAGAAATATGGCAAACACTTTGCATTTTGTAGAATCTATGATAGACATGAGGTTTATTATATTATTGTCTATGTATGCTTGAAATTTTTTATAACTTTAAAACAATATTAATTTTTATAACAATATTTAAAACAGTGAGCTCTTAACTGTATCTGGTTTACTCATAGAAATGAAAAATAAAAGTGACTTGACTTACGCATGGTCCATCATGCAGTTTAGTTATGTTAAACTCTTTATATCTGAAAGAAATTATATTTTGAAATCATTATTTTTGTTCTATGATATATTATAATTTATGACTTACTTGATAATCTTTAGCTAAGTCTAAGCAGGAAGCATTCTGCTAATAATGAATTCTTATTTAATAAATATTTTAAAATACTATATAGATCTTTATTTGTCAAAGAGATCGAATGTATAAAACAAACAGCCTTAAATCAACTATAAACAATTCAAAATAATCTCAAATATTTAAGTAGAAATACAGAGTATTGGAAAGAGAATGTGCAATAAATTTAAAGTATGCATTTGATGAAAGTTAAAGTATTACTAGTGACTTTAAAGCAATAAAAATGATTATAAGGGAATACTGTGAACAATTGTACATCAACAAATTCGATAACCTACATGAAATGGACAAATTTCTAGAAACACTCAAATTACCTAAACTGACTCAAGAAGAAATAGATAATCTCGACAGACCTATATCAAGAGATTGAATCAGTAATTAAAAAAAAAAAAAGTTCAGGACCAGATGGCTATATTAGTGAATTCTAACAAACATTTAAATAAAATATAATACCAATCCTTTTCAAATTCTTCTAAATAATAGAAGAAGAATAAACACTTCCTAATTATTCCGTAGAACTGGAATTATAGAGAAGAAATTATAGCAAAGAAAAAGACATCATAAAAAAAGAAAACTGTAGACAAATATCCCTTATAAATATGGTGCAAAATTCTTGACTAAATACTAGCAAACTGAATCCAACAGCATATTGAAAGGATTATACACTGTGACCAAATGAGACTTTTCTCAAGAATTCAGAGTGATTCAACCTAAAAATATCAACCAATGTAATAATATCATTTCACACTCACCGAGATGGATATAAAAAATTGTCAGTGAGGATATGGAGAAATGGGAGCCCTCAATGTTGCAGGAAGGATTGTAAAATGTAAAGTCTGTGGAAAATGGTGGTTCCTCCAAAAGTTACACGTATAATTACCGTATGACCCAGTAATTTCCTCTCCTAGGTATATTCTGATTTAAAAGACAACTGCACAAAATAATAATTATAAATATGTATTGATGGGCATACAATGTATAGAGGTGTGATTTGCATGATAATAACAGTGCAAAGAAGAGCAGGTGGAGTGCTCTATAGAAGCAAAGTTTTTAAAAAATAATTTGTAATTAATTTGGGATTTATCCAAACTAGATTATCATAAATTAAAATTTTACTTGCAATCCCCATGGTAACTGCTAAGAATATAATTCAAAAATAGAGTCAAAATGAATTCTTTGGTAGCTGTCTCTCAGATGTCTCCTGGTTCTAGTGTTCTGTGAATCTAAGATGTTAATCCCCAGGTGTGCATTCTGATTGTTAGATATCTGATTGTTAGTGATGGGGGCTGACACCAAAGTTGTTTACCTCACAACTCTTTTATGGGTTTTAGTGTAAGTTTAGCTATTTATGCAACCAGAAATGCAAAAAAAGTCCCATCCTGCCCAGCCAACATCTTTTATCCTCACCAAGATTATTATTCCTTCTTTTAAGGAGAAGCCAAGAAGAGGAAGGGGAAAAAGACATAAGTTTTATCTCCTCTCATGTCTTTGCTTTTCCTCTCTCTCAAAATATTGGACTTAATCTCTAAATCTTAGTTACCTAAGACTGTGGCTCTTCTCCTTAAAGGAAAACGCAGATGTCCGGGGATCCTCCCGCCTCTAAGGCAGCCTCCTTGATGAAAACCTCCAGGCCTCACTATTTTCTCTGGACCAGAGAATTTGGCATTTTACATAATCATCATTCAAAGCTGCTCACATATGATGGACCCAAAGACTGAATCTCGTACCAGACTGAAAGCTAAAGACAGTTGTTTGGGAGAATGATATCCATTCGACCATCAGTAAATGATCCGCTGGGAAGATTCATCACCCAGACCCTCCTCCTCCTTCATCAGGGTTCTGTTCTCTGGCTTGAAGGGACCTGAGGATAATCCTCATGCATGGTCACATGATCTGAATGCTGTGTCTACCTGCTACTGAGTTCATTCCACTTGGTCTTTGTCCAGGCCAGAAACGGCACCCTCATCTCACGGGGCTGTGCATCGCATGAATGGGGATCACTTTGGGGAGCACAGGGAAGGATGGAAGAAATGGAGAAGCAAGTAGTGGAGTAGTGTCTGGAGCATTCTGAAGATGTCATTCCTACCTTGGCCGCCTTTAGCCTCCTGACTCGAGAGAAGGGAGAATAAAATCAAGACTTACAGAAGTATGAAACAGAGATGACATTCACTGTTGTAGGTAACCTGGTCGCTGCCACATATGGGTTCACTTGGCTTGGTGTAGGAGAAGAACCAGCACTGATTTATATTGTTGATGCAGTCGACCTGAAGGCGAGACAACAGACTACTGCTTTAGATGCCTTCGTCCAGGCCCTCTGACAGTGATCACTGGTAGTGGGGGAGGAGGATGGAACCAGGAGCCCTATACCAGGAGTTGGGAGAGCAGGCTGCAGAAGCCTCGGTGTTTGACCCATGACACTTACCACCAACAATATAATTAATACAATTAATAAATATAATGACATAACATATTATAATATAATATGTAATCTGTGGACTTCCTAGTCTGAGCTATAAATTCCTTATTAGGGTGAAAATCCTTGCCCTACCTACTGCAAATTGGGATTGTTACATTACAAAGGGAAAATGTCTGTCAAGGTTAGAATTTCCTTATGACTATTACTGAGTGACTTGTGTGTGGTGCTTCAGACAGCAGTGGGCTCTGACTTGTCACAGCAGAGTTAGGATGTAGAAGGAAGGGGATAAAGCGAATACGTTGTGTGGTCTTGGAGTGTGGGAGGCAGGATGGATGTCTCGGTATATCTT